ACCTTGGTGTGTAGATGCATCACTCCAAACTCGGCCTCCTTCATCATGTGGCCGTCTCCTCCCTGTGTGTCTCCGTGTGAGTCTTCTCCTCTTATAAGGATTAGGCCCCACCCAAATGACCTTCTCTTAACTTGATCACATCTGCAAAGACCCTATTTCCAAACAAGGTCACTTTCACAGTCACTGGGGGTTAGGACTTCGACATATGCTTTTGGGAAACACACTGTCATGCGTAACAAGTGGTTTCAGCCTCCCACTGTGGCTGGCTCCTTTCACTCCTTTATAAATAGTCCCTTCATTAGATTCTTTTCAATTCCTCTTTAGAAGGTGTCGTCTGTTTCCTACCAGGACTTTGACTGAGACATCTGCTGCCCAGCTGCCTACTAAGTGCCAGAAGGTGCTGGGGATACAATGGTGAGCAGAAACTAGCGCAAGTCCCTGTCTTCGTGGGGCTTGTGGTCTACAGTCTCATAGGCTTGATCAATATATCGCCAGTAAAATTGCTACCATGAGAAAATCTACCAAGGGGAGGTCACAGTGCCATGACCATGCTTAGCTGGGGAACCACCCTTGTCAGGGAGGCCAGGAAGGACTTCCCTGTGAGAGGGATGATTCAGCCAAATTGTGAAGGATTTACAAAACGTGAAAGATTGCAGTTGTGTGTCTGTTGTCATACCAGATTACCTCGCTCACAGCCTTAAAATAGAAGCCAGCCTAAAGGTGCTGGCTGAGCAGACACCGAGGGAGGCTCACACGACTCAGAACCTGGGTACCGAGCCAGAGGGGAGGACTCGAATCTGGACACAAATGTCCTAACTGTTGAAAACCTGTGACTCCTTTCTTTCCTCGTTATGAGGGAAACACAGCAGTGCCTTAGGACTGTCTGTTTCCAAACTAGAAACAAGATTAACTTGGAGTTCTGTCTCCACCACGCTCCAATTCATTCATTTACCCATGAAGGAAGCCAACCAGAGAAGGGACCTTACGGCTCCTGTCGGCTAAGGGAGGAAGCCCAGCAGAGCCCTGTCTCCGTGTGTCCATCTCCCTCCGAGGGGGGTCTATGTTTCATTCCTATCCCAATTCACGAGTGACTCCTCTCTAGAAAGAATTTATACCACCTCCCATCCTCACAGCTGCAAATCACGGCCGAGAACTGGCCGCAGAAGAGAGCGCTCCCGTCAGCCAGCAAGGAGCCGTCCCCAGGCTGGTGGGTAAGACGGCAGCACATCTCTGAGGGCAAGCGGGGAGCTCCCTGGGAGCCAAGTCGGAGCGACGCCTCACCCTGGACGTTTCTGACATGGAAATCGTAAGCTCCCTGTCCCCCACTCCCTCTCCTCCTCAGAGACATCCCTGTGTGTTGCCGACTTTACCTCCTCGCTCTTTCTCAAACCCCTGCCCTGGTTCACGTCCCTGTCGGTTCCCTGGGACTTTGCACCTTCTTGGCCTCTACCTGTAAAGTCCTCCTGCACAGCACGGCCAGCCGTAAAGCTGCTGGGGACCCTCCAGGACTCCCTGTCACCAGCAGGGTTACAGCCCTAGATGTGGCTGACAAGGCTTGTCCATCGCCGGGCTGCTGTCCTACCTGCCTACCTGGGGCTGCCGCTCCTGCCTCCTGCTTGATCTTCCAACAAGGCCAAACCTGTGTGGTTCCGAGTCTCTTTCGAGCCCTTTTTCCTGGCAGTGCTGTTTTCCAGGTTGTCCCCTCCCTCACCAGACCTCCTCTCGCGATCTAGTTAAATCCAACGCATCCCTAAAAACTTAATTCAGAGATCAACCCCTCCAAGAAGCCTTCCCTGATACCCGTCTTCCTCCTTCCCTGATACGCTTCTCCCTCACGGTTTCTACCAGAGAATGCTTAATCGTTACATGTAACCCCAGGTGTTCTAAATACCTGCAGAGGGGTCTGTTTCCCCCATCACTATGAAGATCCCGGACGGCAGGGACCATGTCTTGCTTGGCGTGGTATACCTGCTACCCGGCACGGGGGAGATGTTCAAAAACTAGATGGATGAACGAGTGAGGGACAAAGCCGTGCTGACCATGCTGCTTTTGTGCTAGAGCCCTGAAAGAGGACAGAGTTGTCCCCTCCCTATCACTGTGAGGAGGGGCGCGGCGCCCTGTGTGTCCCATGGACAGAGGCCACTTTCTTGGCTTCTCGTTCTCATCCCAGCCCCTGCCAGGCAGTATGTGGAAGTGTTTACCATGTAGTGGTTGTGTAACCCTAGTCACTTATTCTTTCTGAGCTTTAGGTTGCTTTTATTATCTATCGAACAGAATTACTGTGAAAATTGAATGAGATAAAACAAGGCATGTAGTCAGAACTCAGCAAATGGTAGAAGTAACTAAGCTGGAAAATTGATTGAGAGACACAGGGAGGTGTCGTGGGAGTTTGGAGTGAAGATGTAGTTGACAACTACTGTCTTAAGTAGCATATCCCCCCTAAAGTATTCTTTATAATCAATAACAGCTCTGGGAACGCCACTGTTGTGGTTTTACTGTGCTCTGTTACAAAAGGCAGTGTTATCTATTTCCTTGCCAGCCTCAACCAGTGCACACGGAATTGCAGCAGGAACAAGAAAAACGTGGGGAGAGAAGAAAAACCAGTGCTGTGTACTAGGCCAGGGTTTTCCGAGACTTCAGTCAGGCTCCTTGGGCGACTGCAGACGTGTGCGTCCCGGCGCCAACGTGCAGTGGTGAGACAGGGCCTGGCTCATCATCTTATGAAATGAAGCTAGTTGCACACACGTGCACTCCCAGCCCAAATCCAGAAGCTAGTCCTCACCCTAGGTTAGTAATTAGTAGGTGACAGTTTGGAGATTTGAGCCTGCAGATGAAAAAGTCCAGACCTAGAGGCCAAGGTCGTGATGTCCGGTCTGGACTCCTATGGCCTGTCGTGTCCATCTTCCTTCCTCATCCCCTTCCTCACTCAGGAGAGTGTCAGCAAGAGAACAGGGAGGCCCAGCGTCAATCAGCAGATGTTCAATGGGCAGCCTCAGGGTGCTCATCGTCCCTCGCTGGGTCCTTTGGGCAATCCTTGCAGATTTACAAAGTACAAAAAGAAAGCATCGCACCAGAACCAGGCAGAGTCAGACCAGTAGAAGTAATCTCACAGCAAAGGTGCGCCAGAGCCAGCTGGGATGGGCTTCCTGAGAGCTGACTGTTAATATTTCAGAAATTTTGCAAGTTGCTTTTTAAATGATCTGTAACTTGAAATCAGCCACAGGGGGAGTATTTACACCAGGGAAGTTGGTGACTGCTACAAATCAGGGCTCCTTCCTGCCCCTCCAGAACCAGTTTACCGGCACTCCATGAAGGGCTTCCCAACATGTAAGGCTTTGAGGTCGGCTGGGAAGTAGTTTTGCATGCAGGCTGTGGAATCACACAGACCTAGGTTTAAATCCCAGCTCCACTAGTTGGGTGAGCTCAGGCACCTAACCCCTCTGAGCCCATGTCTCCATGTGTGTATAGCTCACGTGTATTGAATGCTTACTATGTGCCAGCTAGCATTTTCGGCATCTATACAAATTAATTTTTTGATTCCTCACAACCCTATGAAGAAGAAACTGTTATTATCCCCATTCTACAGATGAGGGAAATCAAGGCCAAGAGAGATTAAGGAATTCCATCTAGATCACACAGACAGTAAGAGGCAGAGCTGGGATTCAAAGCCAGGCATCCGGCCCCAGAGCCTGCCCTTTCACCTTCTAGCCCTGCATTGCCCGGCGCAGTAGCCACTGACCACATGTGGCTTTTGAGTACTTGAAATGTGGCTGGTCTGAATTAAGATGTGCTGTAAGTGTGAAATATGCATTTGATTTCAATGACTTAAGTAAAATGAAGAATATAAAATATCTTATTAATATTTGCGATATGGCTTACATGTAGAAATAATAATGCTTTGGCTACATTGAGTTAAATAAAAGATATTACAAGTAATTGCACCTGTTTCTGTTTACATTTTTTAACATGGGTACTAGAAAATTATAAATTACTTTTGTGACTCACTTTGTATTTCTGTTGGAGAGTGCCATTCCATACTTTCCCCATAGCTTGGTATGCACGTTAAAATCAGTTCACGCAAGGAGAGCACCTAGCACAGTGTCTGAAACAAATGAAGCACCCAACAGCTATTACTAATATTAGTGAGATCGGTGGTTTTCAAATTGTATGGTCCAGTATTTTTTTTCCAAACAACATCTTGTAATAGAGGAAAGAGGAGCCCTGATTGAGTGGTAAGACCCTCGAGGAGTCCTCTCCAGTAGCCCGTTCCCCCAGGGACCCCCTCCACAGGTGGGAAACACACAGGATGCAGTCATCTTTCAATGTCCCCAAGCTCTAGTATTCCCCGTGTGTAGTTTTAGAGAAGGTGAAGAAGTGGTATTGGATAAAATCAAGGTGTCTATGGCAGTATATTAAAATGATCATGGAAAAACACTACCGTTTGCTTGGAAGATTCGAAGTGGGTTGGTCCCAGGTCTAAGCACGGTCCAGAAATGCGGACATCACGAATGTGAATGGGGCCAGCTCTGGGGTCCAGGATCATTACCTGCACAGACAGCACCGAGGCACCATGTCGTTTCCCCACTTCTGCTACCTCGCAGCCTGCCCGCTCCCCACCCACCCAGAACCCGGGCGGATGTGAGGCACCAGCGCTAGGCACCGACATTCCAGGTCTGGCTCCAGGGAAGGGCAACAGGGACACTCAGCCCCGGCACTACAGTGATTTCGCTGTCCTGAAGGCAACTCTGGGCTCGGCCAGCCCCGGTGTCTGCCAGGCAGGCTCCCAGCTCCCCCTCCAGCCCTCGCCCCTGGCTCTGCTGTAGTATGTGTGGACGGGGAGAGCGGCCAACTCTCTGCGAGGCTCTCTAGCAAGTTCCTCGGGTCTGTTTGTTAAAGAAAAATTCCAGTGGGTGCATCCAACACATGGAACTCAAGTACAGAAATTATATTTATCCACCCCACTGCCAAGCAGATCACATGCCCCGTGAGTCACTCCAGATGTGCTCAAAAACAGAGTCTCTCTGTGGAAACCCGGTCCCCCAATCCCGGAGAGAGTTGGATGAAGAGAGGTACCGACTCCTGTCCCACCCAGGACGCAGCCTTTGGTCTCCACCCTTCTGGGGCAGGGCAGGCATCTCTGCTCTTCTGCAAAGGAAAGACCAAGCACGCTGTCGTCTCCCTGGGAGGACCGGTGCAGGCGTACCTGTAACTGCCGTGGTCCCATTGGGTTTGAGGGTCAATTTTTCATCCCTTCACAAGAAAAGATGCGTTGGAAGACGTTGCTGCTTCTGCTGTTGTATTACAATGCTCAGGCGACCGTGTCCCACGGGTGGAGCAGGGGTGAGTTGCTTTTTATTCATTTGTTTATTTGATGCTCATTATTCTTAAATACATTTAGGAATTTGGAGGGTCATAAGCAGAGGGAAAGACATTAGAAGCCCCACACCCTCCTTTTATCTCCTTTCTGCCAATTGCTCTGTGCTTGTTGACATGTTCGTCCTTGCTAGAGGGTGATGCGGAAGTGACACCGGAAAAAACCAAAGCTGCTGCAGGGAACTTGGTCGAGGTGGAGAACCCAGAGGGTGTCCCTTTCTGGCAGGCCAGAGCTCATTTCTGCTTCACAGAAGGTGGACAGACTCCCTCACGCTCCCCCACCAGCTGCTGCAGCTGGGGCAGACCGTCTGGAGAGCAGGTGCTAAGGTCTGCTGCTAAAATGATGGTGCGACAGGGGCTGGGATGCCAAAGGCCAGCTCCCTGGGAAACCAGGGCAGAGGTTCTCGGCCTGGGCTGCCAGGATGAAAGTCTTCATGCTGCCTCCTGGGCAGGAGGGCACGCATCTCTGCAGCCAGGTAGAGCTGGCCTGGAGGCAGGTGAGGACAGAGCAACCCTTCAGCATCCCGTGTGCCCCTGCTGCCCCCACGGGAAGGAGGGGACCCCAGCAAAGTCTTTTCTCTCACCACGGACTTCCTTTCCCTGGGATGTGGTTCCTCAGAGCCAGATGGCATCTTTTCTCTATGCCCCTGATACTGGCTCTGCCTGGGTGAGCCTGGCAGCACCTGAGCTAGTTAGACTTTATCACTTTTAGGAAATGAGGACCCAGGAGTGCTGCTCTCTCCTCGCCAGTCTGAACTGAAATCTTTCTACTGTCTGAAGTCAACGGAGATCATTTGCCCAGAAAGGACTGGAAAAAGAACGAGGCTCCTTCGAGTTTGGCCTGTAGGTGTTTCTAAAGATTCAAAACGGGATGGAGAGTAGCATGGTAGCCTGGGATGAGCCTCCTGCTTCTCGAGGACAGTGTCAGGGAGGAAGGAACAGCCAGTGTGGGAAGCACAGGGCAGCTCGGGGAAGAAGGATCTGAAATGGGGTGCAGGGGGCAAAAGCCACCGTATTTATTTTGAGTTTTATTTCCTCATGTTTAAGCCTGATATTAGGGACTTACCGTCCTCTGAGCAGAGCCGTGAAGTGTTTTTTGCTCAGAAGCAAATAATGTAGCCTTCTCCTTTGTTTCTGGTAACAACATTATATGCATGTGTACACACACACAGACACGCACACAGACACATACTTTCCTGCTCACGATATGCACAAACTTTGGGGGCAGCACTTGGAAGTAGAGAGCAAAGAGACCTTGGAGTTGGGTTCTGACACTTGCCCCTTTGTCACACTGGGGAAACTACTTAATTTGCCTATTCAGAAAGAATGATAATGTCTCCTCTTCCTGAAGCACAGGCTGTTAGAAAGCCAAAAGAGATAATTTGACTTATAATACGGCTTATAAACACTATAGCCACACCATGAGCTACTCTGCAAGGATTCAAAGATTTCATCTCTGCCTCTAATGTGCTGTGTGATCTCAGGCAAGTCTCTTAACCTCTCTGAGCTTAGTTCACTAATAGGTAGCATACTAACTATAATGAAACTTACCTGCACAATGTTGTTGTAAGGTTGATATTAAAAATGTAGATGAAAATGATGAAACACTTATATAAATTTTAATTATTGCCTACCAGTTTTTTAAAAATGAAAATTTTTCATGAAAGAAGGTTGGAGGCTCTCAACAGGGGGTTCCATAGCAACATCCTGGGAGCAACTACTGTGGCCCAGCCCCCTCCTCACTGGGGAAGGTCTGTCCTCAGTACGTTCACGGTCCACATACAGACTCAAAGCCAACACATG